AAAAAAAAAAAAAAAGCAGCATTAGAAATATTGCTTAAAGGTTGCAAAATCAAACATACAAGTTAGGAAATATTGGACTTAATATTGCATGTGTAATTCTAATGGTCATCCTTTGAGCAAATGCATTATGCTGAAGTTCTAATGACACGATCATGTCCTGTTTTTTGCAGTTGTAAGTTCTCTGCACTTCATGCCATATTCTGCTTTCTTTTGGTATTCCTTCGATGAGGAATAGAGAGGCAATGAATGCCAGTTTAGAAGTGTTCTTTAAGTGGCTTAACCCAAGTTCAGCTGGGAGCTCTGTGTCAGAGCCCGTCACAGGACGTGTTTCTTCGGCGAGGGCTGGAGCTGCTTTCTCTGGGACACAATGGCTCTCTCTTCTCGTGCTCTCTCCAGTCTGCAGTTTTTCAGTGCTGCATGAGCTGGCGCAGGAATTCACAAGGGAGCACTTTCTTCAGTAGTGCAACTGCCACCTAAGCCCCGATCCAGATCAGGGTGAAGCAGCAGTATTTGACTGTGTAATCAGACCTGTGCTATTAAAGCATACACGTGAGAGGACTTAATCGAGGCTCATGGACTGTCTTAGCAGTCAAGAGATGCCAGAACTAAACGCCCAAGCGTTTGTGTGTTTTGTTTTGTTTAACATTTTCTTTTTCCATCCAAGTTGAAAACAAATGGCTCATTTCTTGTCCTTCTGCTTCTTATGGTTGCAAGGCTTGGAGAAGTATCTTCATGTTAGGACAGCCAAGGCATTCCCTGTGCATAATTCCTTCTGTTCTCGTGGATCTGCAGGTGACCAGGCAGTCTCCCAATTCCTATGTGGTCATCATGAACAGCTCCTGTGTGGAAGTTGATGTGCACCGATTGAGTGATGGAGGACTGCTCTTATCTTACGATGGCAGCAGCTATACTACCTACATGAAAGAAGAAGTGGACAGGTAGAAATCTGAGCAGGCTTTTTAATACTTCAAGAACACTAAAAGAATTCTCTCCTAGGAAAAGGTTGTTAAATGTATCATTACAGATGAGAAGTTGCCTTCATCTGAAGAACGAATGCTGGTGGTGCTAGAAGAAAGATCTGAACATATAACAGGGAGTTCATATTCTCCTTTTGACTCTCTGAAAGTGCCATTTTGGATTGTATGTTTTCATAATGATTAATCTGAATTTTCTTATGCAGGTCCATTCCACTCAGCCTGGAAGAGCTGGTTGGTGTTCTTGTTTTTAAGTGGAATAGGACAAGAGAATGAATTTCTCTTTCCTGCTCTTCTCCTTCCACAAGGAATGTTGTTGTCCTGATTTGTCCTGTTCTTTCCTAGGTATCGCATCACCATAGGCAACAAGACCTGTGTATTTGAAAAGGAGAACGATCCCTCCATCCTGCGCTCGCCTTCGGCTGGGAAGCTCATCCAGTACGTTGTGGAGGATGGGGGACATGTGTTTTCAGGCCAGTGCTTTGCAGAAATAGAGGTAAGAGTCTCAAAAGACC